TCCTCCTCTCTCCAAATTTCGGGATTTTCTTCTTTTTCCCAAATTAGGGTTTTTTTTTTTTTTGGCAAAGGTATGAATTGGGAATTTGGAATGGAATCTGGATTAGCAGCAAGAGCCAAGCGGTGTGAGAAATAATTGCCAAAATTTAACACCTAATTTCATAAATGTCATTTTTTAAAAAACTTTCAAATATAACAGAAAACTCATATGAATAGACCTCAATACACTCAAAATCCAAAACTCAACGCTTGAATAGATCTCGTCGGCATTGTTGTTCAAAGTGCAAAGCCGGCAGAGAAGGATTTTGAAGGTAAGGACGCTGCAACCAGTAAAACATCCTCTACAATCAAACCCAATGTCGTGAGTTCCACATAGAACTAGTTAAGTAAGTTGATTGTCTGAGATGAATCACTCTCTAATTCAACAAAAGCGAAACCCATTCTCCTTGCAAGACTAATACCTTCAAGTGCTGCCATCATTTCAATCTGGGCAACAGACCTAATTCCTATGATGCACGGATACTTCTGTTTGGTCCCGTATCCTGTATCCGATACTTGTCCAATAATCTCGGATACTCGTCCGACACGTACCCTGGTTGATGGACACGAATTTGACATGATGGATATGCGTATCCTACATTTAGGATACATCTATCCTACTTTTAAGATACATTTACACTTTCAAAAAAAGGTAATGAGGAGGAGAAAATTAATAGGAGACGTTTATAATTGAAAGTTGCTAAATACAAAGAGCTTCCCTCTAATTAAAACCATGAATACGACTCTCACACTTCTTCGACTGTATAAAGAGGATTAGATTTCGAACTTTCCTTCTCTAATAACTCAAATGTAATTGAATTTGAATGATGAATTATGTTTTAAAATGTATATTTTTGTTGCTATATACATTTTTATTTGCCCTATCCATAGCGTATCGTATCTTAATTTTTAGAGATTTTCCGTATCACCGTGTCGTGTCGTATCGTATCGCCGTATCCATATCTGTATCCATGCTTCATAGCCTAATTCCTACCTTGTTCCATGCACTAGCAGCAACAAATTAAAGCACCTTGCCAATCCCTAATAATTAGACCCACTCTTCCCAGACTATTCTCAAACCTTGTAGCTCCATCCACATTCACCTAAACCCAACCCTCTCTAGAAGTCTTCTACCGATGTTGCAACAGTTGCTGCGGCGACGACGAGTGAGAGACAACTGCCATAAATTCCTGAAACCATGCAGTAACCCGCTGAACAACATCAAGTGGGTGACCAATCCTGCCTTTCCACACTCTAGAGTTTCTCTCCTGCCAAACAACCTAAAGAATAATGCAAACTGAATTAAAATTCTTTGGTTTATGTTTATTTGGTTTTTAATTTTGAGGGTTTAATTCATTGAATTTAGTTTATGTTTATTTGGTTTTAATGTTGAGGGTATTTAAGTCTATTTAGTTGAATTTTCTGTTTTTTTGAAAATTTTCATAAAATGTGACATTTATGAAATTTGGTGTTAAATTTTAGCTATTATCGATAAAAACTAGTGAGAGAGATTAACTTGTTGAACACTCTAGTGAGTGTTATACACTAATTGTATATATGGATATAAGTGTCATTTTGTTTTATAGAAAATTGAAAGAGTTGGGTGTTGGAAAAGGAATCCAAAAGAATAAAAATAAAAATATTACAGGGTCAGTCAAGGGCCGAGTCCAAATGATGATGATGGGCCTGATCCAAATAAAACTAGACCGACTGCGATCAGATCCTAAATAGATAAAATCCTACCTAGTTTTTAATTCAATCATTGTGGTCGTGATTGATACATAATTTCGAAACCATAGCTTAAGCCATAAGGTATCTCTAATATGGTGAAGCGCTCCGATGACCCCAATGACTACCGTTCTCGGACAAGAAGAAGGTAAATCAATCTCTCTCTCTCTCTCTCTCTCTCTCTCTCTCTTATGGGGAATTGGACATGAATTTAAACTTGCCAAAATTTGGGATTGAAGAAAACCTTAATAATTTTGTGGTGTTTGTTTCAGTGTGTTGGATGCTTTTGGTGGTGGTGATGCTACTCTTTTTCTTCGAGTCAAGGAAATTTTTTTTTTTAATAGAAGCAATAGAGTTTCATTACCATAAAGAACTAATTACAACGGTGCCATAGGGGTATATATGCTCCAGTGATCAGTTTCTTGATTTGGAGGAAATTAGCACAAGAACATAAATAATTTAAAACCCCTATACGATTACCTCACAAATCATACCACTAAAACGAGAAGTCTTGAAACAAATATGTTGGTAGGTAAGACGTGATATACCAAGCATCAAAACCCTCACAAAAGCCATCGTAGTGAGCGAGACTACAAAACACCGTAGCGGCACATTCTTCTTGACAAAGCAAGCAGACAAAATAACAAAACGACCTAGACTAAAAACACAAGAAAAACAGACATGTCGACAGTGGAGGAACGGGTGCAGAATTGGCAGGAGACATGGGAGCAGAGCCACGTGCAGAGATGGCAGGAGGCATGGGACGCCGGCTGTAGCTAGGGCGACACCCATAGCACCAAAGTCGGTCAAAAATTATGCCGCTCGGTGTGGGTCGTAACGGTAGTGAGGTCCCAAGGTTTGCTGCATCTCACGTTAAAGCCTTACGCGGTGAACAACTGGATCATGATAAAACTGCTCGTCTGGAATGTGATAGGTGGTGGTGGTGGTGGTGATGATGAACTAACTATACATTGTATTCTTATTATTGTGCTACCGCTATGCTACTTCACGTATTAGATATTATCTACTTGTTATTCTGTTATAGGCATTGGTTATGGTAACATGACTCATAATTTCACACAATTTTTTTTGTTAACACACAAAACTTATGGTAAAAGGCACACTTTTTTGTTTGTTAAGTTTATGTGCGAAGTCTTTCCTTTATAAATTTGCTGAAATAAATCAAGAAATTTCCATAATAATTGCAAGCTTAATTATCCAAATGAGAAATCAAGAGAAAAATCGACGAACATGAAACCCGATTAACAAGCAATAATTTAACACAAACTTTTGGATGCCTGGTTAACACACAAAACTTGAAGAAATAATTCTTCTTTTTCATACAATCACTAACACAAACTGATGAGCTACTCACCACTTGAATGGTTTTGAGTCCTTGATGATAAAAAATCACGACGATGGTTTTGAGACCTTAATGAATTTGAATTTTCCAGCTTTACAAGAAAATGAACTTCATGAATTGGAAAACGCTATATATGAAGTGTCATACCTTGCATGAGCTTCCTTTGCTAATCGTTTTTAGATATAACTTCTCACTTTAGTATCTGAGATTTAAAATCAATAGAAATGGTTCTTAAGTTCGTCCACCATCAATCATTTTGATCATTTTGTGAAAAGTCATTAATTAAGGATAGAAAATGATCAAATGATCCTCAATTTTTATCAAATCTCTTTGGCCCATTATTTTTAAATTGAATGTATTTTTGTGGTCCTTATTTAACAAAATATTTAATTAATAGTGGACAAACTCAGGAACCACTTTCATAGATTTCAAATCTTATGAAGCAAAATGAAGAGTTATGTCAATCTCAAAGACCATTTGACTAAAAAGTCATTATGAAAACATCTGGTTCGACATACCAAAACAACATGAGAATCAACCAACTTAAGGAACTGGGACGAAGGTGGATGTAGACGTTTATGTAGCCAAGTAGATATGCCAATATTGAATAGCATGGCCTAATCATGTGTGCAAATTTTCGCAGGTGGACTATGAGATGGCATTAGAGTACGCTACACAAAGCGGAGTGAGTGAGGAACCAAGAGACGCCATATTTCTGCAGTCATTGGAAGCTGCTGAAGATAATTTCATCGACTTGCATAGTCCCACATTCGTCTTTCGGCCGTTCTGCTAGGAACTTGTTTTATATTTCAACATCTTCTAGTTCATTTCTAACTGCAAACTGTGTCTGAGAATCATGACGTTACTGATTGTTTCAGTTTATATGTAATTAAAAGTTAATAATTGAAAAGGCATCTTTGAAGCTGAATTATGATGATTCATGAATGTGCATATAGATCTTCCTAGCTTGGGGAGAACTTGTACCCGTGTATATCGCTTTATCTCTCTCTCTCTTCTCATGTGACCAATCATGGAAGAGGGAAGATATTCCCGGGATTCAAGTTTCTCTCGTGATCTTGATATCTAGCATGCTACGAATATCTGTGGGTGGAGGTTAACACAAGCAAAAATTTACCGATCAATTTGGGATGAATAAAGAATTTAGGTGCCAAAGTGACACAAACCCAAAAGTTTAGGAAGCTAATATGTAATGAACCCCTTCAGTCATTAAATAAATAGTTAGCGAAAATTTGGACAGTAGCGGACAAATGTATATTCACAATAGGAGAGAATGTATTTGATAAAACCGTATAATCACATGATATGTCAGGCTACTTAATATCGATATGACATTAATTATTAATGACAGTTATATTTGATAAAATCTTATAATCAAATGATATGTTTGGCAACTTAATATTGATAAGACATTAATTATTAATGACATTTATGTTGTGGCAAACTTGTGTTTAATTAAATTAATTAAAATAGTGTGTTCCAACAACTTCACTATTGTATTTAAATTCAAATTTCTCATAATTTGATATTATTGATACTTGTCATTTACAGTTGATACAATACGAGTAGCGTTTTTTCATTGAAATCTACTGAAGAAGCAACTCACGATGTGATATCACCTTACTGGATTAAAGAATGACTTATATGACACGAGTATACTGTTACGTGATGTCTTATAACAATAAAATAAGAATATGAATACCCATTTTCTATAAGTTATTATTATCAAATGACTCGACATACTTTTTCCCAAGAATGGGGTGTAATAATGCCAAAAGGGAAATTTCCTTGCATGGCAAAATGTGAATTGCACAACCCTTTGATTATAAAAAACTGTTATCGAAGTGCAAAATAATAATTTTAAAATTATGATAATCAAAATAATAATTTTAAAATTATGATAATTATTCTCTAATTAATTATATGTTATTTATGGTAATTGTCTTAATTAAACACTATGCACCGCTCTCACTCTCAGTCACCATCTTCACTGAATTCCCAACCCAAATTTAACAGTTGAAATTGGGAAATCAAGCAAAGATCCATTCCAATCCAAACTTGCAGGATCAAAATCCCATTTGCTAGATTCGCAAGAAAGGCAGACAACTTACTGCATTTGGGTTCTGAAAAATGGGACCCCATATTGCCATTCTTGGAGCTGGAACCTTCGTGAAGACCCAATACATTCCACGGCTCTCTGAGATCTCCAACCTCCTCGTTCTCAAAGCCATTTGGAGCCGCACGGAGGTACTTCAATTTTCCAAAAGCTTAATCTTTTTATTTACAAACAATTAAAGTTTTGATCTTTTTCCAAATTTTTTGGTGGGTTTTGTTTGTTGTAGGAATCTGCTAGATCTGCTGTTGAGATTGCTCGGAAGCATTTTCCAGGAGTAGAATGCAAATGGGGTGATAAGGGCCTTGAAGAAATTATTGCAGATAGTTCGATTCTTGGTGTTGCAGTTGTTTTAGCTGGCCAAGCTCAGGTAAAACTCAAGCTTCTTTAAAAAAGAATAAATTGTGGGTTTTTTTTTTTTTATAAAATTTAAAGCTTTCTGGTTTAAATTCTAATTTGTTGGTAATTTGAATGTGTGAGGATCTTTATTGGATGACTAGTATTATAGGAATGCTTCATGTAGCTGGACTGTTGGATTGACTACAAGTTTGTTAATTTTAATAACTGATGTTGCAGGTTGATTTCTCATTGAGGATGCTCAAGGCAGGGAAGCATGTGCTTCAAGGTTAGTTTTAATTTTCGACGTAATTGTTAAGTTGTGTGAGGATTTGAGATGCCATCTTCACCCGCCATCAACTGCCGGGGAGGTGCATTTTTTTCTATTTGATTGAATGTCTAAATATTATGATGCAATGGTATGGACTAAATTTTTCTATTTGGGTGTGTGCTGTATCTGCTCACTATTGTTTGGCTGACTTGGTGGACTTGAAGAGAAACCTGCGGCAGCTTGTAAGTAGGATGCAGTTTCGGTTGAATTCATTGTGTTATTTGTTGCCTTTATATTTTGTATATTTGTATGACATATAGAATTGAAGATTCTGGCTATTTCTTTCATTGTTTTTACATTTAATCGTTTTATTGTCTACTGGATCTGCACCAAGGTTGAAGTTAATTTGTAAGCATCTTGAGATAGCATGCAACTTATGGTTTCTCTTGCACACAAAACTTTTCATGATATTAACTAGCTTTCGAGCACATAGGGGGTGTGCTATACGCAAGAACATAAGAAACAAAATGATCGTCAGATTGTGTGTCCAAAACAAATTTAAGAATTTCTTTTTCCCTCAAGCTTCTGTGCTTCCTATTCAGTTTTCCTCCATTATCTTTCTTATTTGACCATCACCTCTAATTCACACCACACCAGTGCTTCTATATCAGGATTAGATATAATGGTAGACAAAATATGAGAGGATATATGATTGTTCAATCCAAAAGTTCAAATTTCTAAGTTACTGATCTGATAATGCAGCTACAAGCGAATTGGAAACTGCGCTGTCAAGTTATAAGTCAATTGTTGATAATGCCCCTGACAAACCAATTTGGGCTGTTGCAGAAAATTATAGATTTGAACCTGCATTTGTTGAGGTACTCTGTTTCCACTGCATTAATATTGCTGAATTATTTTTACTTTTTCGACTTGAAATATCCTCATTGTCGCTTCACAGGGAAGGAAACTAATGACTGAAGTTGGAGATGTGATGAGCATCCAAGTTATTGTTGAAGGATCAATGAACAGTTCGAACCCTTACTTCTCAAGCTCCTGGAGGCGTGATTTTGCTGTAAGTGATTTCTTTCAACTTCTCCCTCATTCATTAGATATTACCACAAGCAAGATTTCCGGAGATTCCTTTCATGATTCCTGTACTACTTTGGTTTTCTTTCTCAACAAGATTATCTCCTTTATGGCAGGGAGGTTTCATTCTGGATATGGGAGTACATTTCATCGCAGGACTGAGGATGGTAATGTCACATTTTTCAAGTATTTAGTGACTAAAGTATGGTTTTGGTTTCTGTGAACACGTTCTGTTTCTCTTAATGTACTCTCTGCTGCTTATCCAAGTTATGAATGTTGAAGTTTTATCTGCTGAATTTGACATTATAGATGTACTTATGCTGAAGAAAGACCAAATAATGAATCTAGAATCTGGTGACAGTAAGTGACTACTTTATGGGACTGTCATGGAATTGGGGAGTTCTCGGTAGATGCGTATATATTGTGAAACAGTTAGGTGGTTCACTGGGCCTGTAGGCAATCGGTTTTAGAGTTGGCCTGATTAGTTCAGACTTCAGGTTATCATTTATAAATGCATAAAGCATGGTCGAGTAAATTCATCTTACGACAAGTATCTCAATTTGTCCTGTTCCCTTCAACAGCTTGCTGGATGTGAGTTAGTATCTGTGTCAGCTACAACCTCTCATGTTGACAAGACCTTGCCGGCACCAGATAGCATTTCCTCTCTCTTGTAAGTTATTATTGGATATAGTTAATTTACAGAATCTGTTTTTTTTTTCCTCCATATATTCTTGCAGCAACAAGTCCACATGTGACCACTGGATTTTGTTTCTTTAGTCAACTGGAGAATGGATGTTCAGGGGTTTTTGTGATGGTGGTCTCCTCAAGGTCACCAAAGGCATGTGGCAAAACTTAATTTCACTTTATAGTTTTTCATCTGCATAAACTTTTTTTTCTCATGGTGCTCTATATCATCAGATAGTTTGGCGATTTTCTGGCTTGAAGGGGACGCTGCAAATTGAGCGTGGGAACCAAGATGGACAGCATGGCTACGTGGTATGTTGAAATTCATCCTGCAGTGTACTTAATTGTGTGACATTGGATGTCAGAATCGGATTCTTTCCTTTTTTCCATCAAGACTCAAATTTCATCGAAATTAACTTGTAATAAATTGGCCAGCTCTTGATCGCTCATCGTACTATTATAGGTTTTATTTTATGGTTCTGATGGACAAAGCACAAGCTCCTTCTACCAATTTAGTGGAGTGGATGAAGAATTCAGAGCTTTCTTTAATGACATAACACAGGCCACTCTAAAGGTAAATTCAGATGTCAATCGTCATGCTATTTAGTTTTAACTTTTAGCATGTTCCAAGTGACCTTTGCATTTACATGTTTAGTTGTTTCCGTTTTACTACTCTGGTGTGTGTGTGTTTTCTGTTCATCCCCATTTTCTTATGGTATTTGCATTGTTGCAGAAGGGGACTAGCTACGAAGCTGAGCCTCGCATGTCTTTTTTGGAAGGTGCCAGAGATGTTGCCGTTCTAGAGGCAATGCTTGAATCTGGAACGAAGCAAGGGGCGCCCGTTCAAGTGAAAAAGTTTTGACCAAATAATTAGATCTCTCTCCGGTTGCAGTTGCTTACGGTATTGAGGTGCATTATAAGTTCAATTTTCTTTTCTTTTTTTTTTCTTTTTTTTTACAGTGAAATTGTTACGTTGAAATAAGAAAGGGAATACATTTACGTTACAACGTTGAAGAGTTCTAAACGATTGGTTATTGCCTCTCGAATGGTATCAGGATTGTAAAGGAGGAGAGTGTAGCTTCTGCAACTACACATTCATTAAGAGAATTCTGGTAAAGCTGTTTGATTTTTTCTGTTCAATCCCTTAACCTCTTCCAAACCATTGTCCTACCTGGGGTATATACGGTACACCACCACGAGGCGTAGAGATCCTTGATACTCGGTTAAAGAGTATTGTAGTCGTAATTCAGTTCTATTTGTTTTCAAAGCATTTCAGATCTAGTTGTGAACAGATCCTTGCGCATGAATTGGTTCCAAGAGTTCTCATCACTAATGAAATTTTTGTTGTTTCATTTGCTATGCACACCTGAAAAATGGAAACTTGTGAAAGCCACTTAAATCAAAAAGTACTTTAATGAAGGTTAAAAAAGTTGCGTTTCCTTTAAGATGCAATGAAAGTACGAGCATTGAACTCATGTGAGGACAACCAAATACTAGAGGCAAATGGCCTTCTTTTGTCAAGAAGCCCAATTGATCCATTCAAGCATAGCTTATCCCTTCCGCTTGTAGAGAACTGAGTTTCACGACTGAAATCTGCACACTTTTTTTTACTTTCTACCACTTTTTTTTACTTTCTACTCACCTGCTTATCCATTTTAATTTTCTACATGTTATAAATATGTAAAAGTTAGAGGGATAACCTTTTTAGTGAATGGAGCGAAGCAGGTGTAAAATGTCACACTGAAACGATAGCACAAGAGGATAACAAATAAAAGATGGAGGAAGAGATGATGTTATTGATCTTTCTTTCTTTCTGTGTGTTTTGATGCAGTCGAGTGCTCTATTTATAGAGCAACTCGTATTACTACATTTTGAAATTTACAACCCTCAACTTTGAAAATATGATCTTTTTGTTTCCAAAGTCTACATTCATCTGCCAAGGATTTCAATATTACTGTGGGCATTCATTACCCACTAGCATTTTCAACACTCCCCCTTGGATGCCCACATATCAACATCAGTTGCCTTATTAAAACCTTGCTTGGAAAAACCCAGTGGGAAAAAACCATAGCGAAGGAAAAAGAGTATAACTTTACCTGGATTGTTGATATAGTGTTAAGTATGCTTATGTTGCCTCGTTAAAACCTTGATAGGAAAAACCCAGTGGGAAAAATCCTAATCGAAGGAAAAAGAGTATAACATGCATGTATCATGGATGCTCCCCTTGATATATATCTCCCCTGATTCCGCACTCTCCAAATTTAGCTGTTTGGTAAGTTGACGTAATCCGATACTTTGAACTAACTTCTGAAACGTGCATTTTGGTAGAGATTTGGTGAACAAATCTGCCAAATTTTCATTAGAACGGATTTGTCTGACTTCAATAACTTTAGCCTTCTGGAGCTCATGTGCATTGAAAAACTTGGGAGATATATGTTTAGTCTTATTGCCCTTGATGAATCCTTCCTTCATTTGGGCAACACAGGCTACATCTTCATGAATGACAGTTGGAGTGTATGTCTTTGAAGTTAGACCACATGAATTCCGGATATGATGGATCATTGATCTTAACCAAAAACATTCACGACTTGCTTCATGTAAAGCAAGTATTTCTAAATGATTTGAAGATGTAGCAACTAATGTTTGCTTTGTTAAGCGCTATGAGATTGATGTATCTCCATTCTTGAACACATAACCAGTTTGTGAGCGGGCTTTATACGGATTAGAGAGAAAACCAGCATCTGCATATTCAACAAGGACATGGTCATTTGTGGAGTTCTTTGAGTAGAAGAAATCCATGTCTGTTGTCCCACGAAGGTATCGCAATACATCTTTAACACAATTCCAATGACGAATTGTTGGAGCAAAGCTATAACTTGCTAACAAGTTAACTGAAAAAGCTATATATGGTTTAGTACATTATGCTAAATATAATAAAGCACCTATTGCACTCAAATATGGTACTTCTGGACCAAGGACCAGTTCATCATCTTCTTTTGGACGGAATTGATCTTTCTTAATGTCTAAAGAACGAACGACCATTGGCGTGCTGAGTGGATAAGCCTTGTCCATGCCAAATCACTTCAGGATTTTTTCAATGTAAGCTGATTGGTAGACCAAAATTCTACTAGCACAATGCTCGATTTGCAGGCCGAGACAAAAATTTTGTTTTCCCAAGGTCTTTCATTTCAAATTCGCTTTTCAGATATTCAGCAGTTTTATTGAGCTTTTCAGGAGTTCCAACTAGGTTCATATCATCGACATATACTGCCACTATAGCAAATCCAGAGTTGGATTTCTTAATGAACACATAAGGACAAATGACATTGTTGATATACCCTTCTTTGATCAAATACTCATTGAGACGATTATACCACATTCGTCCAGATTGTTTTAGCCCATACAATGATCGCCTTAATTTGATTGAGAGCATACTTCATGGTTTGTTAGTTGTTTCAGGCAACTTAAGTCTTTCTGGGACTTTCATGTATATGTCAGCATCTAATTCTCCATATAGATACGCAATAATGACATCCATAAGTCGCATGTCAAGTTTCTTTGAAACCACTAAACTTATTAAGAAACGAAACGTAATTGCGTCCATTACAGAAGAGTATGTCTCCTCATAATCAATTCCAGGTCTTTGCGAAAAGCGTTGTGCAACGAGTCGTGCTTTATATCTTGCAATCTTGTTTTTCTCTCTTTGAATATTTAGCAATGTGTCTGCATATTTAGCAAGGGTTATAATTTGAGCTATAAAATTAACCGTGCTTTATATCTTGCATGTGTCTGCTCAATATGCAGATGCTGGTTTTCTCTCTTTGAATATGCAGAAGAGTATATAACCTTATTATGTTTTGATCCCCATGATTTGAGGGAATCTTATTATGATTTGAGGGAATCTTATCATGTTTGTCTCTTGAGGGAATCTTATTATTTTTTAGTCCCTCATCAAGATGGCGACGAATAAAGATCATGGCATTCGCCCGCTGTTGAGAGGATGAGTTGTTCTCTTCCCTAATGGTATCTCCAAGATTCTCTGCTTCCAGATGGATCTTGGTATCCAGTACCCAGGTAAGGTAATTCTTCCCAATAATGTCCAAGGTAGCATAATCAAGCTTCGCCAAGTTCGTCATTTTCTTTTCTGAAAGAAAATGAGATGTATAAGAACTTGCAATAATATGTATTCTTGGAGGAATATAGTGTTAGAACTTCGGTTCTTACAAATTTTTCATTTTGATCTTCAGGCCAAAATGATAAGCACTCGAAACTTCTGGCTCGAGATTTTCAGGGTGAATGAGGAGGGCGATTATACCGCACCTTTCTCATTGAAATAATATAACATAGAATGAGCGATTATTCCGCACCACTCAAGTAGCAGGAAAATTTAAATATGCAGAGCAGGGTGGGTGATTATACCACTCCACCTAAAATTGCAATGAAATTAAACAGCAGGCAAATTTAAATATGCAAGGTATGATGGGCGAATAATACCACTCCACCTAAAATTGCAGTAAAATTAGATCTGCAGTCCAAGATAGGCAATGATATCGCACCATCTTGGATCGAAGTAAGATTAAATTTGCAGTTCAAGATGGGCGATTGTACCGCACCATCTTGGATTGTAGTAAAATTAACATAAATAAATACTGGGTTAGTAATCAATATCTACACCAAAGAAGAAATCAAAGATGTATGTAACTATTAGGTTGAGAACTAGAAGCAGACATGGAGCAAACAGTTCGTCGCGAGGGTATATCGCGCAGTTGAGGCAGAGGAAGAAGATGAACAGTAAAAACCTTAGAGGAAACATTTTTTTTCGTTCGGCAAAGAGAAATGAGAGAATAGTTATATTTAGAGACTCGTGTTGATAACGTGTTATAAATATGTAAAAGTTAAAGGGATAACCTTTTTAGTGAATGGAGCGAAGCATGTGTAAAATGTCATACTGAAACAATAGCACAAGAGGATAACAAATAAAAGATAGAGGAATAGATGATGTTGTTGATCTTTCTTTCTTTGTGTGTTTTGATTGCAGTCGAGTACTCTATTTATAGAGCAACTCGTATTACTAAATTTTGAAATTTACAACCCTCAACTTTGAAAATACGATCCTTTTGTTTCCAAAGTCTACATTCACCTGCCAACGTTTTCATTCATCTACCAAGGATTTCAATATTACTGTGGGCATTCATTACCCACTAGCATTTTCAACACTACACCCTTTTTCCCTTTTTGTTCACCCGCTTACCCCCGTTAATTTTTCACATTTCTTTTTTGAGAACTTTAACGAAAAGCTTCAGGTACTGTTTACTTTAACGAAAAACCATATTTTTACACTAAAAAGTCAATCTTGGTACTATTCACTATACCTTTTATTTTGTCCTTATCGTTAAAATTCAAAGTTTTTAAGTATTTTTCATTAGTTTTCCTTTCTTTTTTTACCTTCTGCTTACGCGCTTTCCTCTTTTAATTTACCTGTGACTGTGAGTATAGACATTCAGTTGTCCACGGTAGCGTAAACATTTTGTTTTGATTTTATTCAATCCGCCCATGAAATATAAAATAAAAAAATGTGAGATGTTAAAAAGAGGGGTAAAATTCAACTCTCGTTTTCTTTTCTTTTTGGCTTTGTAGATTTGCTTTTGCATGGGTCGTCAGCCATGCCAACTGTTTTGTGTCACATCAGGAAGATGTTAAGAATCATACACAGAAATGGGGTTTATTTTCTTGCCATCTCTCCATTTTTGGATAACTTGATGGTTCTTCTACCTAACACACCTATAAGATATGACTCCAATCTCCAAAGTCTCCCACTTGGTTTTTCATCTACTCCTTTAATTTCTATATTTTAATTTATGTAATAACTACTCATCATTCTCCAATACAAATCTCTCCGTATTCGTAAGTATAACGAATCTTAGGAGGAATTCTTTTGTTCGTTTACGAACAATCAGCACAATGGATGAAATCAAAATACAAAAAAATGAGGTGTTTTTTGTGTACGTGATCAAACGACCATTTAGTCTGATTCTCCGTACCCACGAATTCCTCCCACTATTAAACATTCAAACTTTTAGTAATACTTGGAGTATTAAGTTAGATACCAAAAGAGAGGGAGGTTTTATTTTTAAGCATAAATATCAAAATAGTCCTTGTGTGTTTTCTTATCAGTCAAATTGATCTCCATGTTTACCTTGTTAGCCAATCTGTTAAAAAACCGTTAAAATTAACATGTGTCTTGCAAATGAAAGGATAGAAATGTAACTTCACTGTAAACCCATTAAAACCCATTAAAATACACGGAGACCAATTTGGCCAAATTAAAAACACAATGATCAAATTGATTAATATGGTAAAATACACGAACCATTTTAACATTTAAGCCTTATTTTTTTAATATCTTAAAAAATGAAATTTAATTCATGGTTCTAATATACCTAACAATAACAACAATTTCTTTCTCATTATTTTTCAACTGCAAGCATTGTGGGCCTAAGTTTTGCAATTTTTTTCTTTCTCAAAACATGAATACCATTGTTCATATATTAATGTAGGAGGTTATCCTTTGCTTTCGATATAGGCCCCATGAAAGTGAAACCCCCTTGTTAATGCCATATAAATCGAAATTTTGGCGGTATGGCCAAATAAATTAGTTTGTGACATATCATACATATATCATTTAAGAGTTGAGGTTCAATATTTATTTCATATTCGATTGTTTACCTCTACATTTCTTTCTTGGGAAGCGACTTTCGTGATTTTGTTTTCTCGACACTCATGTTTGGTTTTACATTTGAATTGAATAAATTAAAAAGAAAAAACATAAATACATAGAGGTGTGCATAAAGAAAAACAAAAAAGTTTTGTAAAACTAAATATTATGATTTATTTGATATTATTGATGACTGGTTACGAAGTTACCGCTTCGTTTTTGTAGGTTGGTCTAGTCTACTTACTTTTCTTTGTGCTTATTTCACTTTTTAGGGGGTTGGTTCACTAGTAGTACCCGCCTTTGTATTTGACTTCATGGTATAACCATGGATTGGCAAGTTCCTTGTGGTAAGAAAGGGTTTCGCTTCTGAAAATAATATTCCAAAAGTTTTCTTTTGTTCTCCGTTACTTGTACGGATAAAGCCTATGTTAGAGTAGAGTACATTACTTTGATTTAAAGATCAATTTCTAACCGCATAGCTTCATAATAATTGTGTAACACTCCTTTTTTTTTTTTTTTTTTTTGTCTCTTAGCCTTTGTTGGCAAGCTGCTGTAAGTTTTTGATATAATATTAATTTAATAGTGTTTATTCAAGAAAAGAAAAAATTCAAATAATTGATAAGAAGAGATAGGTATATTAGTATACCCTTTAGTTCGGAGTAGGATTCTCTCCCTTTACTTCTCATTCCCTTCCCTCTTATTTGAACGGTCACGGTTAAGTCACGTCAACATCTTATATTAATTTTTTATAGAAAAAAAAAGAAGACAAAATAAAAAATATGAGAGAAGGGGATGGAAATAGATGAAAAGATGAGGGAAGAGAATCATGATCCCTTTAGTTCACGTCACCTTCTTCTTGCACCTCACCTTAAATTAAGAAAATTGATATATAATATTTATATTATTTACACTTATGCAAATATTGATGATGTGACATGAGGTGAATGCAATGATTTTAGAATGGACTTGGATTGTCTGCCCTCCCATTTCGGTGCCCTCTTCGTGCCCTCCTGTTTGTGTGGTCACGGTTAAGCCACGTCAACATTTTATATTACTATTTCTTTTTGTTTTATTATTTTTATAAAAAAATAATATAAAATGTTGACGTTGTTTAATCATGACCACACAAAACAGGAGGGCACGAGGAGGGAACCGAAATGGGAGGGCAGACAATCCAAGTTCTTTTCGAACAGCCTCACTTTAATGTAGTCCTTTATGTAAGAAAATGTTACTACTATGAACACAATAACTTTGGCTAAATCATGCAATTTACATTTTTACCTATGTCTTTTATTCAAGCAAAAAAAAAAAAAAAAATAGACGAGACTAACTCTTAAGATAATAGTTGCACACGAAACACCTAATCTCTTCCAAAAATTGAGAACCATTACATCCAGAAACTCCCCGTCGCCCCTCCACCAAATATCAACAAGTTCGTCTTAAGGTCACATAGTAGTACTAGTAGTACCATTGAAATTTAATGATGTGACGTTAACCTTTTTAAGAACATGTACCCTCATCAATCAACTCATAATTACATTCCCATATGAGAATTAGTAAAGTTATTAGCCTTTTCTAACAGCACACGTGATCACAAATCAATTAATAAATTAGCTTTTTCTAACAGACAAGGATTGTCTGCCCTTTCACTTCCAGTGTCTTTATATGCCCTCTTGTTTGTGTGATCACGGTTAAGTCACGTCAACATTTTATATTACTAATCATTTTGTCTTATTATCTCTATAAAAAACAATATAAAATGTTGACGTGACTTAACCGTGACTACACAAAATAGGAGGGCACGGAAGGGCACCGGAAGTGGGAAGGCAGACAATCCTTGTCCTTTTCTAACATATTGACATAGGTAATGGTCGCCTTCGATGCTGGTCTATTGTGTGATAAACACATGCTCTTAATTATTTAGAGTAAATATCATACAATACAAATAAAGTGGTGACTTTTGAGTTCAATGGACGTACCTAAAACTGACCCATTTTGTATTGTAATATCAATTTAAGTGCTTGCGTTTATTTTGGAGTAAATTTTGAGTAAGCAATGACTTTTGAGTTATAGGAGGTAAAGTGTGACCGAAATCGAGTTATAGAGGATAAAACTAACATAAGCCTACAAAAACATAGGTGTTTTTTTATAGGGTTGATAAGCCGGTAGCTCAACGATTGTGTGACTAACATAACTTTTTCCTTTTTAGATTAGAATATTGTTGTATAAAAAACAAAAAACATAGGTATCGTCTAGGGCTAGAGGCTCAAGTAACTCTATGATTAAAATGATTTACACTTTTTACCAAAAAAAAGATTTACACTTACAAATGAGCCCAAAAGTTTTGGATTCGAATTCTCCTCCCTCAATGATATATTTTTCCAATTTTCATCAAGGTTACTCCCAACTCATTATGATCCCACTATTACGTAAAAATCTCGAAATTATCACTAAAATGCTTAATTATATGAGAAATACTAAAGAAACTCTTACAGAGTGCACCAAATACGCATTTCATTATCAAAGCATCACATATAATGAGCAAACCAAGAAACATATTAAAAGACACACAATTGTCTCATATCTTTGAGAAACACTACTCCAAGACCAACAAATGAACACGTATCCACTTTCAATTGTGTTTTCAACACAACTTGTTGGTCTTCATTAAACAGCGGAGCATTATTTTTCAGGAATGATGCCAAAACCGACCACAATCCTCTCACACGTGTGACATGCCTCCTCTTAAACAAAACAATAAGAACTAACAAAACACATAAAAAATTGTTAAGGAGGTGTGAAAAAGTTGGCACTCAGTAGGTTTCTTTCTGTCGATGCTCTTTATACAGAGAAGATTCAGTCTTTCTCACAGATCTCAGCCCCACACACTCTTCACTCTCTTCAGCTGCCCTTTTTTTCTTCCCTTGCAAAAAACTGAATTTTCCCATTTTTTTATTTTCTTAAAGTCGAAAATTTTCCATGGACGCACCTTGAAGAAAAGCACTTTTAGATACCTCAGGTCAGTGTTTTACTTTATAACTCTAATAAGTCGGCATTACTTGTAAGGTTTTCTTGTTCCCCTTTTTCTGCTTTTTATTTTTTATTTTTTATTTTTTTATAAGTTGGTCATTTAATTTGCTTGTGAAGTTGAACAATGCTTGCTTACTTTTAAGGTTTTCCTGAAGTTGGTTTTTTTAGTCGTTGTTTGAAACCCATTTTTCTTTAGGTGTGATTAGTTGAAGTTAATGTGCAAGTTTTTTTTTTTTAAATTTGAGCTTACTTGTCGTCTTGGACTTGATGGGGTTTCTGCACTGGATCTGTGAGTTGTGAATATAAAGCTAAGTTTGGTCATTTATCTTCTTTTAGTACTCTCTGATTAGGTTTTTGTACTGTGAAATATGTTTGGTTGCTCAGAAAATATATTGATTGAATAGAATATATGTATTGGTTGTTCTCAAGTTATATAAATGTTGAAAAAGGGAAAACTTAGTGTCTTTCTAAGTTGAAAATACTCGAAATGATGTTTTTTTTCTTCATTTTCTCTGTGATCCCAAAAATGGAAAAGGGAAGCGACATTTGAATCTCTCTCTCTCTCTCTCTCTACTTTCTTCTCAAAGAAACCGAAAGAGGGTTACTTTATGGAAGAGTAATATATTGATTTCTTGATCTCTTTGAATCTGCAGGTTGTTAACAAGTCCTTCATGATTTCTTTCTTTTGAAGTTCTTGGTAAAGCCATCTCTTTTATCTTTGAGATAATCTTTGTTCCATTTTACAGAAAATTTATACATCTTTAGGAAGGAATTGATTGTTGGTGTTGGAAATCTTTTGAGGTTTCACTTGTACTGAGCATTTGTGTCATTCGAATTCAATTTGTTTTTTTACCCTGGTTTGGTGTTTAAGGAGTAGCTTCTCTTTCCGTTCCCACAAACTAGAAAAATGCAGAAGCCTCCGCAGTCTCAAGATTTTGCTTTGAAAGAGACGTCGCCAAACATTGGCGCGGGCTCTATCACGGGGGACAAGCTCTCATGCACATATGACCTCGTAGAACAGATGCACTACCTTTACGTTCGTGTGGTGAAAGCAAAGGATTTGCCTGCAAAAGATGTCACTGGTAGTTGTGATCCCTATGTCGAAGTGAAACTTGGAAACTATAAGGGAGTTACTAGGCATTTTGAGAAGAAGTCCAACCCTGAATGGAATCAGGTGTTTGCTTTCTCCAAAGATCGACTTCAAGCTTCATTTTTGGAAGTTGTGGTGAAAGATAAGGATGTTGTGCTAGATGATTTCATGGGCAGGATTATGTTTGAGCTCAATGACATCCCGAAACGCTTTCCACCAGATAGCCCACTGGCACCACAGTGGTATAGGTTGGAGGACAGGAAGGGGGTTAAGGTCAAGGGGGAGCTGATGTTGGCAGTTTGGATGGGAACTCAAGCAGACGAGGCGTTTCCTGATGCGTGGCATTCTGATGCTGCAACAGTTGGGCCCGAGGGTGTCAATAACATTCGATCGAAGGTATACCTCTCCCCCAAGCTTTGGTATGTGAGGGTTAATGTTATTGAAGCTCAGGACTTGCTACCTAATGACAAGAGTAGGTATCCGGAAGTTTTTGTGAAGGTTATCTGTGGAAATCAGGTATTGAGGACTAGAATATCACAGAGCAAAAGTATTAACCCAATTTGGAATGAGGATTTGATGTTTGTTGCTGCTGAACCATTTGAGGAACCGTTGTATCTTACTGTGGAAGATAGAGTGGGATCCGGCAAAGATGAAATTTTGGGTAAGTGTGTGATTGCTTTACAGACTGTGCAGAGGAGGTTAGACCATAAACCTGTGCACACGAGGTGGTTTAATCTTGAGAAGCATATGATCGTAGATGGGGAACAGAAGAGGGAGATCAAATTTTCCAGCAGGATTCATTTACGGATTTGCTTGGATGGTGGGTACCATGTCTTGGATGAATCAACACACTACAGTAGTGATCTCAGGCCAACTGCAAAGCAGTTGTGGAAGTCGAGCATCGGGATTTTTGAGGTAGGGGTTATAAGCGCAGTTGGTTTGATGCCAATGAAAACAAAAGATGGCCGAGGTACCACAGATGCTTATTGTGTAGCAAAATACGGGCAGAAATGGGTTCGCACAAGGACAATCGTGGACAGCTTCAATCCCAAGTGGAATGAGCAGTACATCTGGGAGGTTTTCGACCCGTGTACTGTCATTACAATTGGGGTTTTTGACAATGGTCATATACATGGAGGTGATAAAGGGGGAAAGGATTCAAGAATTGGCAAAGTGAGAATTCGGCTATCTACACTTGAAGCTGACAGGGTTTACACACATTCGTACCCTCTTCTGGTCCTACATCCATCTGGGGTGAAGAAATGGGTGAAATTCAGCTGGCAGTGAGGTTTACATGCTCATCTTTGATTAATATGCTGTATATGTATTCGCATCCTTTGTTGCCAAAAATGCATTACATTCATCCATTGTCTGTGATTCAGCTCGATAGCTTGAGGCACCAGGCTATGCAGATTGTCTCAATGAGGCTGAACCGGGCTGAGCCCCCACTGAGGAAAGAGGTTGTGGAGTATATGCTGGATGTTGATTCACATATGTGGAGCATGAGAAGAAGCAAGGCAAATTTTTTCCGAATAATGGGAGTTTTAAGCGGGGTGATTGCAGTAGGAAAATGGCTTGATCAAATCTGCAATTGGAAGAATCCTCTCACAACCATTTTAATTCATATCCTCTTTATTATATTGGTTCTTTATCCGGAACTAATTCTTCCAACTATTTTTCTCTACCTATTCTTGATTGGAATTTGGAACTACCGGTGGAGGCCGAGGCACCCTCCTCACATGGACACACGGCTATCTCATGCTGATGCTGCTCATCCTGACGAACGAGATGAAGAGTTTGACACATTCCCAACTTCTCGGCCATCAGATATTGTGAGAATGAGATATGATCGACTAAGAAGCATAGCAGGGAGGGTTCAGACTGTTGTCGGTGATCTGGCAACTCAAGGGGAAAGGTTTCAGTCTCTTCTGAGTTGGAGAGACCCTAGAGCCACAACCCTGTTCGTAACTTTCTGTTTGATTGCCGCCATTGTTCTCTATGTAACTCCATTCCAAGTTGTGGCCCTTCTAGCAGGCATTTACGTGTTAAGGCATCCCAGATTACGCCACAAACTTCCTTCAGTGCCACTCAACTTCTTTAGGAGGTTGCCTGCAAGATCAGACAGCATGCTATAAGCACAACCCGCCTTCAAGAATCACTCCTCTCCTCTTCATCATTGTATCTGTGTTTCAAAGTTGTGCAGATGGTGAAGCAGGGTGAAAAGTAACAAATCGGCAATTTCCCACCACATAAAATGGTGATTTTATGAACTTGTTTATGTCTTTGTATTTAACATTTTAGTTTCTGCTTATGGTTTACAACGCATGTTATTTATCATATTCAATTTGAATATAGCCAGTGCAGAACCAGAATTCGATTTTCATTACAGTATGTTAAAATTTTAAGCGTGCAAGAAACATACGAAAATTTGAAATTCCGACTCAACTTTGGTGCTTCTGAAACTCAGTATGAAACACACCTAGTTACTGTATTCATAACATTAAACTGTGGAGATTATCAGCAAATCTTAAACTCCGGTAGGACATTTGTACATGCTCGATGTGTCAATGGCCCCGTACGGTTGGTAGACGCGTCCGACTGTATGTTACACGAAGTTGACTTGTAGGACTTGTTGGATAGTGGCCAACTTGCAAATGCTTTCGGCTACACAAAAATCTAAACAACTTTTGGCTATAAAAAAATTATAAAGAAAGAAGGTGGACAACACCTTTCCTTGTTTTGGGGAGGAAAATAGGGAAAAGGTTTTTTGTTCTCTTCAACACCCGTGGGTGTTGGTTCAATATGGGGACAAGTTGCCTTTGAAGCAAATAGAAAAGAATGAGAGCTCATTTCGGTTTGATAAAAACAAGAGAGAACCAAGAGCTCTTTTTGTAGAGAGCAAGGGAGAGTTGCAGTGAGTCCAAACAGAAGAAGAAGCTGCTGCTTCATTTGATTAGTAATCATCAACCAAAGTAATTGTTGTAGTAATAGCCTTGAGCTATATGTATAGAGAAGAAATTATTCATTATATTTCTTTCTCTATTTGTTTCTTTGGTGTGTGAGAGCTATTGGGTGTATTGGGCTTTTGGGTTGTGAGATTGCCAACACTTTGTAAACTCCCATTTGGTTGATAGTGGATTATTGGGTGAGCTCCTACTGCTCCGAGGACGTACTCCAGTTACACTGACTGTGGAGGAACCTCGTTAAAATCTTGGTGTCTTTAATATATTGTTCTTGCATTTTCATTTGATAAATTTCCTGTGGGTTAGACTGAGTTGGTTCCATAAGGTTTGGTGCTATCCTAGCACAACAATTGGTATCAGAGCACTAGTTGCTCTTGGGTACTGTCTAGTTGCCAAAGATGTCAGACGGGCAAGATGAAAATCCTTTTGGAAGCACCTCTGGGTTTGCAAGAACTACGGTGCAAAATGCAAAGTTCGAAGTGGAAAAGTTTGATGGCACAAACAACTTCGGGATGTGGCAATGTGAGGTCAAAGATGTGTTGGCTCAACAAGATCTACTTGCCGCTTTGGGAGAGAAGCCGGAAGCTATGTCGAAGTTGGAATGGGAGAAATTAAATTTGTGGGCTTGCTCTTCAATTCGGTTGTGCCTTGCAAAAACTCAGAAGTATTTTGTGATGCGGGAGACATTAGCAAGTGTGTTGTGGCAAAAATTGGAAGACAAGTATATGACGAAGAGTGCAGAGAACCGGCTACACTTGAAGAAAAAACTCTACCGCTTCCAATACAAAGAAGGTACAAAAATGATTAGACACCTTGATGCTTTTAATAAGTTGATTGCCGACTTGTTAAATTTAGATGAGGATATTAAGGATGAAGATAAGGCCTTAATATTGTTGAATTCATTGCCGGACTCTTATGAGCATTTTGTTACCACTATTATGCATGGTAAAGAAACTGTGAAACTTGAAGATGTGTCAAATGCCTTGATGAATTATGAAATGAGGCATAGAGATAAAAATCATGATAGTACCTCTGAAGCTTTATTTGTTAGAGGTAGATCATCGGAGAGGAGATCATCTTCTAGTAGGAAAAAATCACAGTCTCGACCTAGAGGAAACTCTAAAGGTAGAAAACCTTTGGAAAGGGATGAATGTGCCTTTTGTCGTAATAAAGGTCATTGGAAGAAAGATTGTCCTAAATTGAAGACCAAAGGCAAAGAAAGTTCTGAAGCTAATGTTGCTGAGGTTGAAACAGATTTTTCTGATTTTGCTTTAACCACTTCTTCATCATTTGATTGTGCTACTAAGTGGGTGTTGGATACGGGTTGTACTCATCATATGACTCCTCACAAGGATTGGTTTCAAGCTTGAAAGAGTTTGATGGTGGCGTTGTGTTCATGGGAGATGACAATCCTTGCACAACAAAAGGGATTGGTACAGTTCGTTTGAAGTTGCATGATGGCATGGTTAAAGAGTTGACATGTGTTCGGTATGTACCGAATTTGAAGAAAAATCTTATTTCTTTGGGTACTTTGGAATCCAAGGGCTTCAGGTTTCATTCAGATGGACAGACATTGAAAGTTACTTATGGTGCACTTGTTGTGATGAAAGCTCCTAGATGTGGCCATTTGTATTTATTGCAGGGAAGCACTGTGACAGGTGAAGCATCTGTAGTCTCTGAAAATATGGGCACATCTGATTCAGATACTACTAGATTGTGGCATATGAGATTAGGCCATGCCGGTGAGAAAGCTCTACAAGGGCTTGTGAAACAAGGTCTTCTAAAAGGTGCCACGACTTGTAAGCTTGATTTCTGTGAGCATTGTGTCTTGGGGAAGCAAACTAGAGTGAAGTTTGGTACTGCTGTACATCAGACGAAGGGCATTCTTGATTATGTGCATTCGGATGTTTGGGGTCCTACAAAGATTCCCTCTTTGAGTGGTAGACATTGGTTCGTGACCTTTGTTGATGATTATTCAAGAAGGTCTTGGGTCTACACTATGAAGCACAAGAGTGAGGTGTTAAGCATTTTTCTTGGGTTGGAAGAAAATGGTTGAGAACCAGACTGGGAGAAAGATTAAGATTTTGAGATCGGATAATGGTGGTGAATACACATCCGATCCTTCTTTCTTTAAAGTTTGCAAAGAGGAAGGAATTGTGAGACATTTCAGTGTTCGGGGAACTCCACAACAAAATGGAGTTGCAGAAAGATTGAATCGAACCTTGCTTGAGAAGGTTAGATGTATGTTGTCTCAGTCGGGTTTAAGCAAGTCATTTTGGGCAGAAGCAGTTAATTATGCATGTCACATCATCAACCGGTTACCCTCAGCTGCTGTTCAGGGTAAGACACCAATGGAGGTATGGATTGGAAAACCTTCTTCTGATTATGACTATATCCGTATTTTTGGTTCACCTGCTTATTTTCATGTGACTGAAAATAAAACTTGATCCTAGAGCCAAAAAGGCTATTTTTCTTGGTTTTAGTAGTGGTGTCAAAGGTTACAGGTTGTGGTGTGTCCAGAGAGATGAAGAAACTGGTAATTAGCAGAGATGTGACATTTGATGAAGAAAGTATGTACAAAGTCTCTGAGAAGAATGTGAAAGATGTCCAACAGGTGGAGCTTGAGAAAGTTGCCTCTGATACTTCAAATCCTATTTCCGCTGATGTCGATGCCACTACAAGTGAAGAAGTTGGAGACCATGAGGATGTTGAAGAAGTTGAACTTGAAGATTCTATTCAAGTTGAAGAGAGCAAGTTTCACCTCAAGAGTCTATTGCCAAGAACAGAGGAAAGAGACAAATTACCAAGCCAGCTCGGTATAGTGATTATGTTGCTTTTGCTCTTCCTATTATCACTGAAGAGATTCCATCCAATTTTGAGGAAGCTATTGAGAGTGAGGAGAAGAATAGGTGGTGCAATGCCATGGGTGATGAGATGAATTCTCTCTTGAAGAACAAGACTTGGGAGTTAGCTAAATTGCCTAAGGGCAAGAAAGCTATTGGTTGCAAATGGGTGTATGCCAAGAAGGAAGATGCTGATGAGAAAAGCAATGTGAGATTTAAAGTAAGATTAGTTGCTAAAGGGTATGCACAAAAGGAGGGCATTGACTACAATGAAATATTTTCTCCAGTTGTGAAACACTCCTCAATTCGTATTATGTTAGCTCTTGTTGCACAATATGATCTTGAGCTTGTGCAACTCGATGTGAAGACGGCTTTCCTACATGGTGATTTGAATGAAGAGATCTATATGTGTCAACCGGATGGGTATATAGTGAAAGGGAAGGAAAATTTGTTTTGCAAATTGAAGAAATCACTTTATGGCTTGAAGCAATCTCCAAGGCAATGGTATTTGAGGTTTGATAAATTTATGAGAGGCCAAAATTATTCTAGAAGTCAATATGATCATTGTGTGTACTTCAAGAAGTTGCAAGATGGGTCTTTCATTTATTTATTGATATATGTTGATGATATGTTGATTGCCTCAAAGAATGTTGAAGAGATTGAGAAATTGAAGAAACAAATGAAGAATGAGTTTGAGATGAAGGATCTTGGTGAAGCGAAGAAGATCCTTGGCATGGAGATCACTAGAGATAGAGCAAAGGGTTTTGTCAGTTTGAATCAAAGACAATACCTTGAGAAGTTGATTCGGAAGTTTGGAGTTCATGATTCAACCAAACCGGTTAGTACCCCTTTGGCTCCTCATTTTAAATTGAGTTCTCTACAATGTCCTAAAAATGATAAAGAGAAGCTGCAAATGAAAAATATACCATATGCAAATTTGGTTGGTAGTTTGATGTATGCAATGGTATGCTCTAGACCGGATATTGCTCATGCAGTTGGCATGGTGAGTCGATATATGCATAATCCAGGTAAAGAGCATTGGCAAGCAGCTAAGTGGATATTGAGATATCTCCATGGTACTCGAGATGTTGGTTTATGTTTTGAGAGGGATGACTCTGGTATTGGTCATTTTGCAGTTGGTTATGTTGATTCAGATTATGCAGGTGATCTGGATGGAAGGAAGTCTACTACAGGCTATGTGTTTACTATGGCTAAAGGGCCAGTTTGTTGGAGGTCCATTTTGCAGTCGTCTGTTGCCTTGTCTACTACAGAGGCTGAATATATGGCAGTTGCTGAAGCTATAAAGGAGGCCATTTGGATACATGGGCTGATTAGAGATTTGGGGGTTGATCAGAAGCAGGTGGAGGTACATTGTGATAGTCAGAGTGCCATTTATTTGGCTAAGTATCAGGTTCATCATGCGAGGACCAAGCACATAGATGTGCGTTATCACTTTGTTCGTGAAATTGTTGGTGAAGGGGAAATCATTCTCCAGAAGATTCCAACGAAAGACAACCCCGCTGATATGTTGACTAAGGTTGTTGGTGTAGCCAAGTTTGTTCACTGTTTGAACTTGGCTCACATTATGCCTATATAAAGAAGGTGTTGAGCAGTAGGAGTTTTGGAGCAATTGGCTCGGCATGAGTTGTTCTCTTGCTAGTGTTTAGGAGTGATGTTGTGTATCAATTGTGTTGGTTGGCTTGTCATGGCGTTTTTCGGAATTTGGCCAAGGTGGAGATTGTTGGATAGTGGCCAACTTGCAAATGCTTTCGGCTACACAAAAATCTAAACAACTTTTGGCTATAAAAAAATTATAAAGAAAGAAGGTGGACAACACCTTTCCTTGTTTTGGGGAGGAAAATAGGGAAAAGGTTTTTTGTTCTCTTCAACACCCGTGGGTGTTGGTTCAATATGGGGACAAGTTGCCTTTGAAGCAAATAGAAAAGAATGAGAGCTCATTTCGGTTTGATAAAAACAAGAGAGAACCAAGAGCTCTTTTTGTAGAGAGCAAGGGAGAGTTGCAGTGAGTCCAAACAGAAGAAGAAGCTGCTGCTTCATTTGATTAGTAATCATCAACCAAAGTAATTGTTGTAGTAATAGCCTTGAGCTATATGTATAGAGAAGAAATTATTCATTATATTTCTTTCTCTATTTGTTTCTTTGGTGTGTGAGAGCTATTGGGTGTATTGGGCTTTTGGGTTGTGAGATTGCCAACACTTTGTAAACTCCCATTTGGTTGATAGTGGATTATTGGGTGAGCTCCTACTGCTCCGAGGACGTACTCCAGTTACACTGACTGTGGAGGAACCTCGTTAAAATCTTGGTGTCTTTTCTATATTGTTCTTGCATTTTCATTTGATAAATTTCCTGTGGGTTAGACTGAGTTGGTTCCATAAGGTTTGGTGCTATCCTAGCACAACAGGACTAACACCAGACCACACAATCCTCATGTTTCTTCCTTGTTTTCTCTTGTCACCATTGAATTTCTTGCGTAAATCGAATTCGATAAGTTAGTAAGCTAGTCATACCAGAAAACATGAAGTTGGACGACCTTGCTGCAGAATGAAAGCTTAAGGCCCTAAATAGTTTGAACAGACTAAAAAAGCGTCCAATGTTGTAATTGGTTCTTAGTCGTTAGATTTTATTTTTATAACTATTAGATTTTCTACTTTTAATCTCAGCTGTTCATTTTTCGTATCATTCATTGGTACATAATATAGAAGAAAAATTGAATAATTACTAAAATCCCTCTCAAAGCAACCCAAGGAGCAAGGCTCACCTTGATATGGGTTTAGAATGTTTGGCCCACTTAGTTGTTCTCCCCCTCCTTGTCCACAAATCAAATCAAAACAATAAAAAATTGAGTAAACAAGAATTTTTAAGGAAAACTAATGAAAAAGACTTGAAAACTTTGAGTTTTAATGATAACGACAAAATAAAGGATAAAATGAATAGTACCAGGTTTGACTTTTTAGTGTAAAAATGTGGTTTTTCGTAAAGTGAATAGTACCGTGGACTTTTCGTTAAAACTCCTAATTTTCTATGGGTACATATAATGTGACATTTCTGTTTCGAGAAATGCTTAGCTCCTCAAGATTGAGGATAGGTTTTTCTTCAAAACACTTCATCGTGGCTGGTTTACAGAGAGTGTAATGTTTATGATAAAAAGCGTTTGATGTTATAAATTATTTTGTAAATATTATCTATGGAAAAAAAACAAACTAATGAAAATGGTTTGAAAACTTTGAGTTTTAATGATAAAAACAAAATAAAGGGTAAAGTGAATAGTACCATATTTGACTTTTTAGTGTAAAAATGTGATTTTTTGTTAAAGTGAACAGTATTGCAGGCTTTTCGTTAAAACTCCAAAAAAAAAAATCAATTAAAACTAAAATTGTTTACTTAATCAATTGCAGTGTATAGATAGACGATTCATAATGTTTCTATTGAATCCGACAATTTGATTTTCTACAATTCGAAAACTAAACTAAGTGAGAAATATTCAAATATCACAACTCTTAAGAGATTTCTCAGAACAAATAATAAGGAAACATATTTTATATACACACACACACACACACACACACACACACACACACACACACACACACACTAGCCTCTCCGCATGCACTAACGTGCTTGCGAGAGACATTTTTGTATCATGGTTGCTATGTGCTCTTAAATGTGTATTGTGTTAGTTTATTTTTTCCATTGTAATTGTCAAGATATATTTTAAATGTATTGTGCAAAGATGAACTTTTTCTTTACCATGCACTTCCTAAAAAGTTGTCATGTTTTTCGTTTTCACTTTGCTTAAAATAATGATTTAAATGTTGTTCATGCAATTGTCAAACAATGTGGGATTTTAGATGCAAGTTCCTACCTAAAGTCCATGAACAATAGTGGTTGTCATTCACCATTTTAAATACAAAGAATGAAATTTTTTTCATGAAAACTGAATAAGTAGTGTATATGCAACTGATCAAGAAAAACAGAGTTCAATATAAATTTTTCTTTCTTTTGATCAATCTGAACATATGAAGACAATTAACAATGTTGTTCTATAAAAGAGAAATTAAGAGAAAGCTGAAACATCCCAACCTCACTTATATTTAAAAGTTGTTTTAAGGCCTTAAATGGTGAGCCACGTGGGGCCCACATTATGTTTTTTTTTTTTCCCCGGTCTTTCTCTTCTTTGTCACTTCCCCCGTAACCCCCTTCTTTCTTCTTTCCCTTTCTGCACTCACTCCCGTCTCTCCCTCCCTCACTCCCTGATCTCTTACCCCTCGACCTATACCCGAGGGTACCACACCACCTTCCCAGACGACAACGGTGTCATCATCGTTATCATCATGCCACCTCTCTCTCTTGTCGCTGCGAGGCGCAGAGAAGCCCAGAAAAACCCTCCGGCGAGATTTCCTCGTATTCTCAGCCAGGTAAGCCTTGGGATTCTCTCTCTTTCTTAGATTGAATGTTGGGATAAGATTTTGAACTTTATACTTGTTATTGACAAGGTTTAACACAAAACCGATTCGGGGAAAGTGAAACCCGTCTCCGGCGAGCCGTGAGTGTCAAGGGATTTTCCGACCACCACCAGCCGTTTCACGGCGAACCAAAGGTTTTCTTTTGGTCAATATAGCTGCATTAATTTGTTTGGACAAAAATTCTATAATGCAAACTAAGTACAGACCTTACGTAACCACTAAATTGTAAGCACAAAGTAATTAACATAAGAGTTTAAAAGGAGAAAATATAACTTATGTTACAACCACCCCCAAAACAATTGGAATATTTGTTATTTTCACCCCTAAGCTGCCACGTGTCAGTCATCTAACCCTCTCTTTTCTCTTCTTCTGGCCCCCCCGTGTCTCTCTCTTCTTCTTCTTCTTCGTCTCTCTCTCCCATAGCTTTCTCAACTCTCCCGTGTATCTCCCCCTCCCTCAACCTCTCACATCTCTCTCCCTCTGGACTCACGAAGATCATATCACCAACAGGAGAGACTCGCAATGAACCCAGGATCCCTGCCCTGTGAACTCGACGGCATGGAGCAAAGCTTCGGCGAGATTTCTTTCCTTTTTCCCGTCGGGCAAGTCTCGAATCCCTTGTCCTCGTACCTAGCATGATGCTTGGTTGTGTTTTAGGAGCTTGATCCTTCCATTTTTACGTAGGTTTTGCCTCGGGATCGTGTTGGGTGGAGCACACCCATTTTTCGGTGAACCCGTGCACTCCAAGGGATTTTATGGTCACCTCCAACCGAGTTACGAATTTTGGAAGGTAGAAACCTCTTTCTCTCTCCCTGTTCTTCATGGTTGTACTTAGATCGGAGCCCAAAACCCATGTTTTCCGATGACCGGAGCTGTAGCAGCTCCGGCCTTCTTGTTCCTCGGCACCAGGCCATCCGGCCTTCCCTTTTCCCCCTCGGGCCTTAAGCCCGTTAGGCCTCAGCCCAAAAACCCCAGCCCGTTTCTTTTATTTTTAGTTCATTTGTTTTTAAAACCCCGTAAGGCCTCGGGCCTTATATATATTTGGCCTTGGGCCAGTTCCTTTTAAAGGGCTTAAAGCCCTATTCTTTATTAAGGCCTTAGGGCCTTTGTGGTAAATGTGTGTGTGTGTGTTTAGGCATGTGTGTGTGTGTGTGTGTGTGTGTGTGTGTGTGTGTGTTATGCATGCACATGCATGCCGTGTGTGTGTGTATGTGTTTGGGCTAAATCCCAAGCCCCAATTCTCACCCTAATACCCTTTTAACCCAAAAACCCTAGGTTCCTAAAATCCTTTAAACCCTAAACCCTAATCGGCTCAAACCCTTTATGTGAAATATTCTGTTAGGGAATATTTCATTAGAAAATATTCCGTCAGGGAATATTCTATTGACGTTTACGAAATTTATCCGGGACCCTTCTTAGGGTAGTTCAACGTTCTGAATCCGTTTCCAATGTCTGTTTTCCCAAATTCAATTACTATTATATAGTTTTATTAATTGGACCCTTTATGTGCTTAGGGGCAATTATTGGTGACGTTTTCTTGTTCGTTAGTTTGCGTGGCTCTTCGGCAGCTAAGTACTGTGAGTGGACCCCTTCTAAAATGCATGTTTTATAGTAGAAATGCATACATGAAAAGCATGATTTGATGATTACGTTTTATAAATATTTTGTGAGATAACATGCTTACTGAGGCTACTTTGAATTATTACTATTTTTCCTATAACTCGTGTTCTTATAGAATATCTGATGGATGACGATATGATATTTAGAACATGTTTCGAACACCTCTTTATAGTATAGATGATGAATGACTTTATACTATGAAGTTGTTTTTCAATATATATATGTTCAATGGTTTTGTACTTACCTAGTGGTCATTTCCGCTACGGGACGTAGGGATAGATTCTGGTCCGTCCCGGGCGACAGTTTGGTGTTGGCATAGGGCCTTAAGGGTGTTTCCTCTGGCATTTAAGACCAGGGACGGGGAGCCAGCATGGGGCCTGAAGTGTATTTTCCTCTGACTGTCTACTCAGAAATGAGGAGCCGGCATGGGGCCTAGGGGTTATTGGACAATTCACTAGTGATTATTATATATGAGTTATGATTTGAGACATTGCACGACATGCTAGGTTTCGGAAAACCTATGTTTAACATTATATATGTGTTTTCATAAAACCTGTGGGTTAGTACGTTGATAACTGTTTTATTATATATATATATATATCAACTTGGTCCACTCATGTTTGTTTTGCGCCCCCTTCAGGACTTAGAATTGAGGCATACAATTCCGGCATCCAAGCACTTCTGCATCGGCATCTTCGAGTCCTCTCGGTGTAGGACCCATTCCTTTGTTCATCAAATTTTATATTATTTCCTTTATTGTTCTAGTTAGTTGTATGCTCTGAACACGTTCCTTAAATGCATATTCTTTATTCTTTTATATTTATATACCTTATCAATTCCTTGTTTTCAGCATTTGCACTCAATAAATGGCTTTCGTCACCTTCGGGTGTCGGCCAGCACGTACCTATCCTAGTATTCGGGGAAATATCAGGATCGGGGCGTGTCAACTTACTAGGTGCCAACAATTCCTATGATGTTTCTGCATACTGGGCACGCAAGCTTTCCTTTTCTTTTAAAACGACATAGTTTTGAACCTGGTCTTTAGTTCTCGTTTTTTTTCAAATATTTTTAAAAGACAAAAAACAACAATAAACCTCCTTATATCCACACCCATCCCCGATTACTGCTCCCAAAAAAGAACCCAAATCACTGTCATTTCTACTCCCAAATTGCACAGCCACTGAGCCACCCTAACCCCACAATCCTGAAGAAAAACTTGTATAGGGCTCAATGTGCCGTTGGATCATGTTGAATGGTATTACAGACTACTCATAATTTGCCATGTATTCAACATTAAATATGATTTCTTTTTTTTTTTTATATCAAAATAAAATAAAAAACTTAAAGCATTATTTCTTCAAGAAACTAAAATTGTTAAAATAAAACTCAACCGCAGTTCAACCTTCCTCCATCTACAAACTCGTCCATGGACTCTTCTCTCTCGTCGATCGGTGTCCCCAACGCCGTCAATTCTCCTCCTTTACTACTCAGCCTCCTCCTTCCTTGGTTCCCCCATCTCTCATCTTTCTCTCTCATGATTGCTTATAACTAATTCAATTTCACATCAATAGTCCATGGTATTTGAAAACTGGGAACTACAAACAACTGGTGAAGGAAGGTGGCTTTTATAATTGGTTCTTCACCAGAATTTATATGTCCTTGATAATTATTCCATAAGTTATAAAAATAATGAGGTTAGTCAGAAACGTAATTCAATTAAGATGGATTAATGAACCTTTGAACCAGTAATTACACGAATTCCACACAATTTCCCAGCAACCATGCAAGGCCGTGAGAAAGAGAGGTGTCCCTCAAAGTCAGGCCTTTTAAAAATTTATTTTTTCCTCATAATTTTTTTTATTAATTGTGATATAAATTGAAAATAAGAAATTACACTAATGCAGCAATACTTAACATTGGGCAAGTAGCATGATCCAATGGCAAGCCAAGCCTCACACAAGTTTTTCTCCCAACCCCGCCACCACATGCGGCCATTTTGCCACCGAGCCACTACTCTCTCCTCTCGCATATTTTCATTCCTCAAATTTCATGTAACTTTTAAATTATAATCCCAAATATTATGGTTTATGAATGATTGGATATTGAGGTTTAAAAAAAACATTAAATGCTTTTAGCCATTTATAATTCTGGATCCGCCGCTGCTCACTTGTATATATAAAATTCTAATCCATTTATTGCAAAGCAGTAAGTTGATAAACATATGTTACAATAGATCCAAACGCCTTATTTATGCACGCTATCTAGGGTATAATTCAGTGATAGATCCTTCATAAACGGACGGAGATGACTTGCTAATAGATTGATCGGACTCCAGCGTTGTCATTGATGGGTTCCCCACCGCTTTGCTCTGGAGGAAAAATGCCGGTTCTTTAGGTAATGGTAGACTGACAGAGTAACTATTGAGCATGAGAACTACTGATTGCATCATAGGCCTATCAACTGGATCTTCCTGAACACAAAGTAAGCCGGTGTGGATGCATCTGATTACTTCAGTCCTTGAATAAGAGTCTCTCAGACTCGGATCCAACAATTCCAAAGATGTCCCGTCTCTCCATAACTTCCAAGCCTGCATAAAACTCAATGGTTTAACTAATGATGCTATGTCAATGCAGGAGAACAGAACACTGCACTTTTCATTTTAAGCTTACATGGCTCGCCAGGTCCTCAGCTGCATCGGTCTGAAAGAAGTTACTGTTCTTCTTGCCACTGATGATTTCTAGCACTAAAACACCGAAACTATACATATCGGACTTGACAGAAAATTGCCCGTGCATTGCATACTCGGGAGACATATAACCACTACAAGTTGAGATGGGAAAATTTGACAAATTCATTAGTACAGATAATGCAAAGAAGAGGTGGTCGTGTTAAAAGAAAAGAAAAGAAGGGAGAAACTTACTATGTTCCCACAATTCTATTTGTATTTGCTTGAGTTTGATCAACCCCAAAGATCCTGGCCATGCCAAAATCAGATATTTTTGGATGCATGTCCCCATCTAACAATATATTGCTAGCTTTGAGATCACGATGTATAATTCTAAGTCGGGAATCTTCATGCAAGTACATGATTCCTCTAGCAATTCCTGAAATAATCTTGTAACGTCTTGACCAATCCAATTGCCCCTGTTTCTCAGGGTCTGCAAATCATCAAAATCAAGTTATCATCGACGAACTGCTATTGCAATAGGGAAAGACTTATCAGATGTTTGAGTGTACAAACCAAATAGGAAACAGTCGAGGCTTTTGTTGAGCACATATTCATAAACAAGAATTTTTTCTTCGCCTTCCAAGCAAAATCCCAATACCCTAACCAAATTTCGGTGTTGAAGCTTGGCTACCAATACCATCTCGTTCTTAAACTCTTCTGTGCCTTGGCCAGAGTTCCTTGATAGCCTCTTCACAGCTACTTCTTGACCGTTTGAAAGTGTACCCTGCGAGAAAACTTCAATCAAACAATGGAATGTCCCATTCATGGCATTCATGGACGGCTTCTGAGGCTCCAAAATTATTCAGATTTTGCATGCATAAAAGTTGGAACTTTGTAGACCTGATGGAGTACTCATGTCATATACTGATTAACATACCTTGTAAACTTGACCGAAACCACCTTCGCCTAACTTATCGGAGAAATTGCTCGTAGTTTCTTGGATGGTAGCAAAATCAAATTGCAAAGACTCGACAGTAGTAATGTCATACTCACCTGCACAACCAACCAAACCATAGAAGCACAATGTTAATAGACGAGGAATAAAGGAAAGGAGAATCAACGAGAATAAACAAGAGGAGAATCGCAGAAGGATATATTTGTTTACCGCTTAGTTCGTCTGCTGCTGCATAATTGTACTTCTTTCTCGCTCTCCTATTTATGCAGCAGTAACCCACAACGAAAAGTAGCACAGATACAGATATTGCTACGACAACGGCAACAATTGTACTAGTTGGGGTTTTGCTTTTTCCTGCAAAATAAACAAAAAATATTGAAAAATTGGTAAAATCAGCAGCCACCGCACAACACCATATTCCCCTGTTCCAAAGTCCACAATAGCTATCAATTACCTAACAAACTAATCTGATAATGCAATAATCACTTGATTGGGGCTTCTAAAAAGGTTAGAAACGTTTTTGGGGGCTAGTGTATACCTTTAGGCCCTTCTCTATTGGAGGCTGGCGGCGGTGGGGCGGAGGAGTAGAAGGGGTAAACTTCAAACCTAAGATTGCAACTGGGTTTTAGAATTCGTCCCCCAGCACTTGTTCTAGGAATTTGTGTTGCAGCTGCCAGAAGACACCAATTGCAATCTCCAGAGGACAGGTCCTGCGTGCACTGCCCAAATCCATACAGCGTAATGGAACCTGAAACATTCGTTTCTTTCGTCGCAAACTTGTGACTGCTATTGGAAGTCTGAGCGGCCACTTCGGTGACCGTAGCTGCCAGTACCTCGTTGAACCGGTTTTGGTCCGTTATACTACTTGCATTCTGCGTGTTCCACATGTACACGGAAGGCTTGTCGTCTGCCCTGGAAAAGAAAGACTCGTTGGAGTAGCGTAGCATGCAGTAGTCGTACCAGATCACCATCTGTTTTTCTACAGGGCAGCGTTGTGGGGCCTCGGCGGTAGCGGTGGCGACACAGGTTTCGCAAGAGTCGGTGCCGACGACGTCGCCGCGGCAGAGGAAGAGGCCGTAGACGTCGTTGTTTGGGGTTTGGACGGAGGCGTTGTAGAAGCCGGTGGAGCGGTTGGCGTTGGAGGAGAGGGTGGAGAGGAGGCGGTTGAGGTTGGACTGAAAGGTGGAGTTTGGGGTGAAGGTGGTGGTGTTTGGGCAGATGTGATAAAGGTAATCAGCATCCGTACTGGTCGGAAAGCTGAGCAGAGTAAAAACGGAGAAAATCAAAAGAAGGGTAGTCATGCTTTCCATTTTTTGGTGATTCATCGTAACATCATAGGGATTTTTTTTTTATTTTCCGGAAACTAACATCATAGGTTTTTGTACTGAGTATTAACAAGAGCAATGCGGTGGTGGAAGCAAGACTTTTCTGTATTGATTGTTGACCAGAAGAATTCCTATCATACAACCGGGTTTTAGCCTCAGTGCCATCAACCTCTAATAAGTGCTTCCAACTTGTTCAAAAGTTGTACTATTCTGTCCACTGCCCAATTGTTTAGTGGTGAATTGGTAAAAAAAAATAAAGGTGATTTTAGAGAGATAAAATTTTTAAGTTAATTTTTTAAAACAAAATGACATAGTTGTTGATAATTAGATTATGTTAATTATGCATTTATTTTTTATTGATGACACGCCTTTTAGTTTAAAATTTAGTCTTCTTAGTATTATCTTTTGATTAACTTTTGATTAAGCCCACCTTGTAGGTACCTTGCGTCCATAAGAAAGGTTTAGGTCAGCTCATAAACCTTTAACCCGTGTTTGATTGTTTCTTCGTTGTCGCCTTCTTCTTCTTCTTTTGGTTTTTCAAAGCGGTCTGTTCATGATTGAAATGTAGCCATGAATTGACATGAGCATTTGAACCGGCACACCAGTTTTGTCCTAAGAGTTGAGTTGAGTCGATTGGAAATTTTAGCCAAACAGTTCTTGTCATTTTTTCCTCCTCAAATATTCAACAATTACATCTTTGATTATATGAAAAAAGGTTGCAAATACAACTCCCAAAGGGATATGAGAAAATTAGAGTATTGGTCCCTGAATTGAAAATCTATAAGCATCGGTCCTTAAATGGTTCATAATGTGGAGTATTGATTCTTTTGAGTAGTACTGTTTAATAATATCATCCTAAATAAAGGGTTTAAAAGAGAAAAGTCTTTATCATATAAGGCAAATAAAGAATAAGTTGAGCCTCTCTCACTCAATGATACAGTCTCTTGATTAAAAATCAATTAAGCGCAATCTCCATCACTTAAATCTTGTCCACTAGCAGTACCTAGTAGTGGCATGCTCGGAATCTCTAAAGGGTTGTTTTATTCACACCCCATGTTTTGTTGATTACACCTTACATACTTAATACACCTCACATATACTTTTTAAATCAAAATTTATCTTAATACACCCCACATGTTTTCCAATGCTACCCTCACACTCCACATGCTATATATACACCCCACACG